CAGGCTGCCTCAGTCCTGCTCCTGTGGTTCTGGTCCAGGATCAGGGTTGGGTGACAGGTGCCTCATAGCCCTTGATTCTCAGGCTGACCCCCTTTGAGGCTGGATCCCCTCACCCCCATCTTTCCGGTATGCTCACCGACTTGGCCAGGGGACCAGGGTTCATGGCCACATTTTGAGGAAGAGTGTCAGGCTCTACTTCCACAAATCTTGAAGGGGTAGGGGCAGGGAGAAAGGCTTCTCCCCACGTATCTGGCCCCTGGGAGAGAGTGCACAGCCAGGCTGGGGCGCCAGCCCCAGACCAGGTTGTGAGACCCACAGGCAGATCTGATTTTAGGCACCTTCAAGTGCAGCTCCCTGTTCTTGGCCTGCTTTCCTGGAACAACCTGGTTGTCACTGCACCGTAACATTCCCCTTGGCAAGTGCAGGCCCAGCATGCTGGGTGGTGGGCCAGCCCCAGGGCAGGGATGTGTCAGGCTGACTGAAAGTCCTTGCCCTTCTTGGCTTCTTGGCTTCCAGGCGGGAGAACCAGCTGAAGCTGTCACATGACTGGCTGTGCTACCTGGCCCCCGAGATCGTGCGGGAGATGACCCCCGGGAAGGACGAGGACCAGCTCCCGTTCTCCAAAGCTGCTGACGTCTATGCGTTTGGGTGAGGAGGCCCCTGGCATCCCTCCTCCTGGGGCTCTGAGGCTGAGAGTGGCCAGAAGAGAGGGTCCCGCTGGCCATTGGGGGCAGGGGAAGGGGTGCTTTTAATCTGGCTCAGCCACTTCTCTGCGCGAGTGACCACATCCTTGCCCTTCTGTTTCCCCTCCTGTACAGTGGAGAGGACAATGGTGCCTTCCTGGTAGGGGTGTTTCATGAGGAGTAAATTAGGTCATCGTTATAAAATGCTTAATTCTGGGTGTCATTCTCCCCTGTTGCCCTGTGAGGACACTCACCAGAGCCACCCAAGAACTGTTCCTCCGGGAGACCGGGGAGTCCCGCCAGCCTGCCTCTAGTGCCCCCCAAAGAGCTGGGGTGCTGACCGATAGAAAAACAGGAATATCAAAATATAATGGGAGCTGGATATATAAAGCTTTCTCTTAGCCGTGTTAAAAAAGAAAAGGAAACAAGTGAACTGAATTTCAATAATATGTTTTACTCAGTATATAGCCAAAGTATTATCATTTCAACATGTAATCAAAATAAAAAACTAAGGTGATGGGGAAGGGTAATGGCTCAGTCATAGAGTGTGTGCATGAGGTCCTGGGTTCAATCCCTGGTACCTCTATTAAAAATATAAAAATAAAATTTTTTTTTAATTTAAAAAAAAGAAATTAAGGAGATATTTTATCCCGCAAAACTTTCAAAATCTGGTGTGTGTTTTACCCCTCCAGCACACCTCAGTTCCCCTCTCCACATTCAGTTACTTGTAGCCCCACGTGGTGGGGTCTAATGGAGAAGGTCCTGTCCAGATAAGTCGAGAATGGCGAGGAGACAGAGGGTCTGAGTGAGGGCCTCACCCCATAATCTCTCAGGGTATCCACCCCTCGGGGGTGGTCTCATCCTGCCCTGCCCTTTTACTGTCATTTCCTGAGCACCTGTGTGTGCCAGACCCAGGACTGGGCATTTGTGTCCCTCCTCAGACGACCGTGGACATGGGCGTCAGCCCCACTGAGGTTAGACGGTTGTACCAGGATCTCTGTTCAGAACCCAGGTTGCCTCCGACCTCCCACCACAACGGGAGCGCAGGGCCTTGGGTCCTCGAGCCCTGGGAGGGGTCACGGCATTCCCAGAAGCCTGGCAGGTGAGGAAGGCTGGAGGAGGATCCTGGGTCCCCAGGCGGAGCTCCTGGCACCGCGGAAGCCCAAGCCCCCATGTGTGCTCATGCCGCGTGGATGGTCTCCACAGGACTGTTTGGTATGAGCTGCAAGCAAGAGACTGGCCCTTGAAGAACCAAGCTGCAGAGGCCCTGATCTGGCAGATTGGAAGTGGAGAGGGCATGAGGCGAGTCCTGGCCTCCGTCAGCCTGGGGAAGGAAGTCACGGTGAGCAGCCACCTGCTCCGGGAGAAGGAAGCAGGGCTGGAGGCAGGGGCTGGCACGGCACCTGGCTGCCTTTCAAAGGGTATCCTCTACCACCCCACTGTTAACCTTAAAAAAAAAAAAAAGACAGACAGAAAGGAAATAAAGGTTTGATTGGATTATGAGACGAGAAGATAATAAACCTGTACCTTACTTACAAGAAAGAAGGTAATAATCACTGTACAAAGCACAAACACTGGAGTCACTGTAGTATCAGATCTTTCTCCTTAATGTGTTTTTTGACCGTATGAGAACAAATCAGTTTTCCAAGGCAAATTGTTTTCAGAATGCCAGATCATGATACAGTTGCTGGCCTCACGTGACTGAATACTGTTAATGGTTTCTCTGCAGTGCAGTTTGTCACTTCCCTTCCCCGGCACAGTGACATATAAAGGCATCCAGAGGTCAGGGTTTTCCGTGTGGTCGGTGACAGCCATGTGTTCTGAATCAGAAAGGCCTGGAGTGGATGGGTGCCCGTCAGGGGTTTGCTAAGCAGCTCCAGTAAGTGTCTGGGCAGCATAATCACGGAAGCGTCTGGAGGCTCCACCTGGCACTTGTCCAGCTGAGGAGCTAACTAGGCTGTGAGCTTCCTGTTGAAGTCCTGAGCGGTGCTGGCAGGGTCGCCCTCTGCCCAGTCGCGTGAGCATCTTCTGCCTGGTCGTGTGTACAGGCCTGTCAGGCAGTTCACCCGAATCGCGAGGCTGAGGGATGTGCTGTGTGCTTGCGGACATTGGAGAGGAGGCAGCAGGATGCCAGAGTGAGAAGGGCTCTGCCCTGACTCAGAGCAGTCAGGAGAGCTCGTCCTCCTTGTCGCTCTCAGCCTCCGTTCTTGTAAGGCCGAGCCTCCCGCCTCCGTTGCAGCCCCGCCCTGCACGTGTTCCGAGCATCTTGCGTTTCACCTGTCAACATGCTGTTTTTTACTTTCCACTCTGAACATCAGCAACCCCATTTCTGATCTCTTTCCTGTGATCTGTTTCCTATTTAGCTTTATGACTGTTAATCCAGGGAGGTCAGAGAAGGAAAGAGGGGAGACAGGCCCATACACTTCATTTTAACTAGGAGCATGAGCGCACTTCTGAAATTCAGTTATTTCTCAGCCCTCCTCCAGCCATGGCCAGTCACCTCAATGTCGGCAGGAGGGTCGGGACCACCAGCTGGGGGTTCTGGGGGGGTGCCCAGCTGTGCTCCCCTCGCTCCCCGCCAGGGCTCACAGCTTCCCCCACTGGCTCACTTTGCAGGAGATCCTGTCCGCCTGCTGGGCCTTTGACCTGCAGGAGAGGCCCAGCTTCCCCCTGCTGATGGACATGCTGGAGAAACTGCCCAAGCTGAACCGGCGGCTCTCCCATCCGGGGCACTTCTGGAAGTCTGCTGAGTGAGTACCGCTCGGAGCCGAGCTCCTCAGCCAGGGGTCTTGGAGGGAGGGCACTGTCTGCTCTGTCTGCCTGAGACTTTGACCTGGGAGCCCGCAGAGCAGGTTAGCCAGACTAGTCCCCTCGCCCAAGGGATATTGGGATTCTGTTTACCACATTAATTTTAGGGACTCTTTTATAGGCTAGTGTCTCTACTTTTCCTTTGTGAAAACCTCCACATCACTGTTATCAGCCCAGTGCTGGTGCTGGGCCCAGGCTAGGCCCCAGCAGGAAAGTTCTGCCTCGGAAAGGACCAGGGCCGGGGCAGGGCCAGGTGGAAGTACCAAAACCATCAGAGCAGCTGTTGCTTAAAATGGCGCAGACTCAAGACAGAGCTTTCTAGCCCCAGATCAGCCTCCTGTTACGAGGCCACATCGCCTGCCCTACAAGCCCATCCCCCTTCTGTTTAATCACATAACCCTTTGCACCCCTCGGTGCGGGGTGGCGCCTGCTCATCTCTTCTAAGCTGTCTCATTCCCTTTTCCTTTTGTCCCCTGGCACTCTTGCCGGAACACTCAATAGCAGACCTCAGCCCTGCCTCTGTGAGAATCTGGACAAGTCCTTCCTTGTTCCCGACCTCAGATTCCACAGCTTTACAAAGTAGGCGGTGGGCAAACTTGCCAAGGGTCATGTGGGAAATATTTTAGCTTTGCAGACCAAGGGGGGAACGTGGGTGACGGTTTCTGTCACTGGAATTTGCGGTGCACCCAGCAGTGTGCAGCACGATGATACCACCACTTACAGTCCCTGTCACGATGGCCCAGCTCTGCTCTTTGGTGCAGGGACAGCCGCAGATCCGTACACTCACAAGCTGGCTGGCTCTAGTAAGAGGTTACTTCCGGGCACTGAAACTGGAATTTCATGTAATTTTCACAGGTCATGAAACAGTCTTCTTTTGGTTTTTTTTTCACCCCCAACCATTTAGAAAGATTAAAAAAAAAATTCTTAGTTTGTTGATTGTCTAGAAACAAGACACAGGTCACACCTGGCTGGACTCTTGGACAAGATGAATGGCTTGAAACGTTCTTTTAAGGTGAAAGGCACTTTCTAAAAGTGAAATCTTACACGGACCTCCAGCACATAGAACAGATAATGTCGAGCTGCTCCCAGGAGAAGTGGGGCCGAGGGCCTGTCCACCCCCGATGCCCAGGGTGACCCCTGGAGTAGCACCGGGATCTCACACTCGCCTAGGAGTGTGGTGGTGGCAGCCTCCCTTGTTAGAAAGGGCCAGACAGTCAATATTTCAGACTTGTGGGTCATGTGGTCTCTGCCACATGTCCTTTGTTTTGTTTTTTTACGTTTATTTTTTTTACAACTCTAAAACAGTCCAAACTTCTTTGTGGCCAGATGTGATTTACACCTAGTTTGCCAGCTCATTTTGAAAACAAACCAAACCAGCCATCAAGCTGCAGGTGAGGAGAGGCCCAGCCTGGGCCAACCCAGCAGAGGATGCACACAGGAGAGCTTGTTGAAGAAATGTGACGAATGTGGCAGTTTAGGCCAGTCGCAGGGACAATCTGGAGGAACGGCAGTTTGGGGTATGGGGGTGCTGAACCTTATCATGGAACATTAGATTCAATATTTTGCACTTAAGATGGGTCAGAGTCCAAGACAGATTGTGGGTAATAGGATGTTGCCATGAGAGGCGTGGGTTTTACCCAGCCATTGCCGACTGCTGCACCACACGTGAGGAGACAGGCCAAGTCACTGTAAGTCCACACAGCAGGACGCTGTCTTGTTACCTCTGATTCTCAGTGCCTAGCGCCGTCCCAGGGATGTAGTAATTGCTCAGGAAATATTGGATGGGTGAGGGGATGAAGGAGGGAGTGACTACGGCGTGCTGAGAGCCGGGAAAACACACCTCTTTGGGCGCCCAGACGGGGCTCTCTGTCCACCCGGGAGCTTGAGGAAGGGTCTCCGAAGGAGAGGGTCGTGGGAGCTGGGTGTTGAGAGGAGCTGTCCTGGCCGAGACCGGAGCGGGGGTTCTCCTGGACTCGCAAGAAATTCGAGGATCTGCTTTGTCAGACCTTGGGCAGCTTGTTTAGCAGACCAGGCCCTGGTTTCCTCGTCCACAAAAGAAAGGGGGGTGCTTGGGGAGGGGTGCTGGCCTTCAGGAGGTGACTCCAGATCTCCCGAAGACTGCAGAGTCCCACTTCATTTCACAGGAGGGAAACTGAGTCCCGAATGAAGGCTGTTTCCTGCGCACAGTGTTCAGTTTCAGCCCCTTCAAGGAAGGGATGCCAGCCCACCTGAGTCTGTGTAAAGCTACTGTTCATAATTTTTATTCCACACATTCAAGCCTCTAATTCTCATTTTCTCTTTTCTGTTCCATCGGTCTTGTCGCCTTTCTTTTTTTTTTAATTTTTGCGGGGGGTGGCGGATGTGCTGTCCTGTCCTGTCATCTCCTCCTGTCCCCTCCATCCTGATTCCTGCGGCCCCTCCTCCCCCCCGTCCACCCTGGTGCCCACCGCCATCACCTGCTGGACTGCGCTCCTCCCACACCCGGTGAAATGGCTGCGGGGCGCTCCCAGTCGCTGGCGGAGCCGCTACTATGGGAAAGGACGTTACGGTCACCTCGACTTTAAGAACAGCTGCCCAGTTCTGGAGGAATAGTGTGTCTTCTGCTGTTTTCCTGATTCTCTGCCTGTTTGTGGTGAACCCTTTGCCCATCCTGCTTCCTGTCCTGTCTCTGCACCCCGCTTCCCCATCTTGGCGTGTTGTATTCCCAGAAACCAAAGTGACATTCTGGCAGCTCACAGGACCACCAGCCAGGGCCCTGCAGGCTCGTGTTTCTCTCACTGGGCTGAGAGCAGACCCACGGCTTGTGGCAGGCCTCCGACCACACACAATGGCTTGTCCGTGGGTGGGAAGGAACTCAGATCACTGGTTCGAGTCCCCAGGGTCCCCTCTGGCCAGAGCTTAAAGAAGAGAATGCAGGGAGCAGAAATAGCTCTGAGGTGATGGTCAGGGGCTGAGGGGCAGTGGGCCTGCTGGTCAGCCTTGATACAGAAGTCTGTGACTGTGTCCTGGGGGGGTCTGGGGGAGGTTCTTTGTGCCAGGCTCCCTTCCAAGTTGGTTCTGCTGCCAAAGCCTGGAATGGAGCAGGGATGGCCTTTTCTCTGTCTGCAGGAAAAGAGGGTCCCCTGCCATCTGCCCTGGCCGGGCCTCTGCCGCCCCCACCCCCGCCCCCTTCCCAGGGGATCAGGTTCTGACGCTGCTCTCCCCCCTTCTCTTTCCTTCTGTAGGTTGTAGGCCTGGCTGCCTTGCATGTACCGGGGCTTTCTTCCTCCTAATCCACCCTCGGCACCGCGACTTCTACTCCAGCTCAAACAGCGATGCGGGCACTAACCCAGGGGACGCGATCGCTGCCGCTCGTCTTCTCTCCTGAGACTTCTTTTGCTTTGTTTGTTAAAACTGGCCCTCTCCCCGCTCCGCGGCCCGCGTGTGCCTGAGTAACTGCTCTCCACGGAGGGTCCCCCTAACAGTCCCCCCAGAACCACCTCCCAGGATGCGACTTCATCTCTAGTGCTTCTTCTGGGGGGTGGTGCTGTCCCCTACTAACAGCTCAGTGAGAGAGATCCCCCCACTCCCAGCACACTGGCTCCGTGTGGGGTGTGTCCCTCGGACAGGGGGTGGGGTTTTGCTTGGCTGTTAACCCACGGGGATCTTGTCCAACAAGGAGCGGAATGATTTCAGAGCTGCCCGAGCCAGTTGCCTCTGGAGGGCTGGGTTGCAGTGAAAGACATCAGCTTGGAAGGGCTGTGTCCTCAGCCACATGCTCGGAAAAGTCCCTAAGCAGGGAGGTGGCCTGTCTCCAGACAGTTTCACTGTTGAAAACAAATCTCTGTCCTCTCTCCCTGCCGTGCTGCTCCCCTTCCACCTGCCCAGTGTAGGCAGGAAGTACCAGACCCAAGTAAGCGTTCAGCAGGAGGGTGTCTGGCAGGTCGTTCAGTGCTTACCAAATGCAGATCCCCCTGAAGCCGGGTCTCTGGAGGCAGACACTGAGACCCTGCATTTCAACCTGCTTCTCAGATGGCCCCGAGACACCCCAGCGTTTGAGGACTATTTCTAGGAGCACGCAATGCTGCTCTCAGTGTTGGGGACTGGGTTTCTCTTTCCTCCCAGTTCCACTCAGAGCAAGGCCTTTCCTGGGCTGCAAATGAGAAAGCAGTTCTGATGAGCCCCCTGCAGTTACGGGGTGTGCAGGGCGCTGGTGGTTCCAAGAGGAATAGCGCTACACAGGAGAGAGCGTGGCCGAGACTCGGCCCCCGCGGCCAGGGGTGTCCAGCAACCGTCCTGCCGAGGCCTGTGGCCGGGTCATCATTCCCACTTCCTGGTGGGGCTGGCTCCTCTGCTGAGCTTCTGGAACTGGCCTGCTTGGTAGCTAATGTTGCCCTAACTCTGATCGAGACCAGCGGGGCTCTAACCCTTGTTTTTGTTCCCCTTTGCAGCATTAACAGCAGCAAAGTTGTACCCCGGTTTGAAAGGTTTGGCTTGGGCATCCTGGAGTCCAGTAATCCAAAGATGTAGCCAGCTGTGCAGTTTTTCTGCTGACATATTTCTTCCTTAAATGTTTCTAAAACATCCAAACCACCACCATGACAAATAAAACAACACTCTTCGAAGTGCCAGCCACCCTCCTGAGTGCTGCAAACCAGGAGCACAAGTCCTCGATGTAGACTGTTCGTCCACTGAAGCACTTGGGTCCCCAAGATGGAGCCGCACCTGCTGTTTCTTAAAATGACGTCACCAACAACCCAACCTGTCCTGATGGACGGCAAATGTTTACACATATGTTTCTGCGGAGTTGGACTCAATGTACAATAGGTAATAATAAAAACGGTCCGTGCCGAGGTCACTGGCACCGTCGGCCAGGATGGCAGAACTGGCCGTCCCCTCTGGAGGACCCTATAGGCAGTGAGGAGCCCACGCTGGGCCAGAGGAGGAAAAGCATTGTGATTGTGGCT